AAAAAATTTTTCGCAATCGCTCCAACCGAGTATCGAGCCTGGCAGCTACAGGCTTGTAGCTCGCAACTCTCACCACTCGGCTACCGCGTCCGCGAAACTCGACTGCTTCGTTTGCTTACTTGTACAAAACATCTTGCCGTTTTTAGCAGTGCTGTCATCGAAAATTACCCGGATCCGAGTTAATTCCCAAAAATTTCGTGCATTTGTTCGGCTGCTTATGCTCATTTTAAAGAGGAAAATGCATGAGCTAAAGCAAATTAAGGCTGGTTATGCAAATAATCGAGCCCGTTTGTCTACTGTATTAGCAAGTGAAATGGAGGAAATAAGCAACAAGAATTAACAAGCCGAACTTAGCACAGTGCGTAGGCAACTGGCGGAGTCAGTGGGATCGTCGGTTCGAATCATACTGAAAGAAGTCTGATGAGGAAATGTGGTGATTTCCGAAATAGCTATCCTTTCTACCATTCTTTCAAATTATTGTTGCTTTTCCACGATAAGTTTTAAAAACGGCCTCGAGCTCAATAAAAATTGTTGAGTACAATTGTTATAAGGCCATAAAATAACAAAACACAAATAACTTAAAGATGAGCACACCTAAAAGTTAAAACATTCCAATAATAGAAATTACTAACAAATTTATTTGAAGGGAAAAAATCGCCGAAAATCGCCAATGGCGATTTTCTAAATATTTTCGCGCAAATATCCAAAAAATAATTTGGCAAATTGGCGCGAAATCGCCAAATATGGACACTCTGTGAGAAGCTGTTTTTCATGGCAGAAATACACTCGGAGGTTTGCCATTGCCTGCCGAGGGACGACCGCTGTTAAGAAAAAACCTTTTTCTATTTTTTTGCGATGCTGCTTTGACCAGGTCTTGAACCCAGGTGCTGATGAGGGAAAGCGCGCACTGCTTACCACTACACCACAGTTGCCGATAAAACCATTAGTTTCCTTTTTAAAATTTAAAAATTTAACAAGAAAATAAAATAAATGAAAAAAGGGAAAAGAAAATTTTCCTGCCCTAGGGCTCGAACTCGAATCTCTCGAACGGCACGCCAGTGCTCTGTTTACTAAGCCATTGCGACTGTTAAGGCACTGCGCACAAAATGATATAAGTACTTATTTTTAACCGACTTCCAAAAAAAGGAGGAGGTTATCAGTTCGTCGGAATATTTTTTATTTTTACTTTTATTTTTATTTTTTTTATGTAGATATGTTACCGCATAACTTTGGACCACGTCAACCGATTTCGATAATTTTTTGCAACGGAAAGGTAGTGTCTCAGAGGTGGTCCCATACTAATTTGGTTTAGATCCGATCATTGAATCATGAAATATATAGATATATATATTTTTTTTAAGTCGGTTTTTTTTT